ATTACCAGATCAAAGTCGTAACATTACTAGAATAAAGTTGTAACATTACCAGAATAAAGTTGTAACATTACCAGAATAAAGTCGTAACATTACCAGATCAAAGTCGTAACATTACTTGAATAAAGTTGTAACATTACCAGAATAAAGTCGTAACATTACCAGAATAAAGTTGTAACATTACCAGAATAAAGTTGTAACATTACCAGAATAAAGTCATAACATTACCAGATCAAAGTTGTAACATTACCAGAATAAAGTCATAACATTACAAGATCAAAGGCGTAACATTACCAGAATAAAGTTGTAACATTGCCAGAATAAAGTCATAACATTACCAGATCAAAGTCGTAACATTACCAGAATAAAGTCATAACATTACCAGATCAAAGTCGTAACATTACCAGAATAAAGTTGTAACATTACCAGAATAAAGTTGTAACATTACCAGAATAAAGTCGTAACTTTAACAGATCAAAGTCCTAACATCATCACATTATGTGAATAAAGTTGTAATATAATCAGTATTATGCCATATTAAGAGACTAAAAAAGGAAGCCTGCTTTTATGTAAACTCCAACAATTCAAATCAATTTCAATTCAGTTTATGTATAAAGCGCTGATTCACAACACATGTCATCTCAAGGCACTTTAGATTTCAGCCAGATGATACAGTATAAAAGGTATAACTATTTCGCCTAAATTAAAATGCAGCAGTTTAGGCGAATTTAGGTGATTACTCTATTGATTTTATTGTCTTACCATAATGACCTTTGTGTCTCAATAATGCAAGTCCAATGTAAAATTTCTGACTTAACAAGTAACATTAAGGCTTTATTCTTTCATTTTTAAAAAGTCTCAGTATGGCCCAATATTCTGTTTTTTTTTTCAGTTCTAAAATTTCAAATAAAAGAAATTTCAAACACCTATATTTAGATGATTATGTTTTCTTATTTGATCCCTTTTCATACTCACACCCCATCCTGATAATTACTGGACCTGAAGAAGCTGGAGGTCGCCTTAAAACAAAGTGCGGCACATTAGAGGCTCCCAGGATGATTTTCTGAGGCCCTTCACTAGAATCCAAGGATGCCGTACATTTTGCCAACCTAGGAGTTTGATACAGATAAGTTTATTTCATGTTAGGTCAGTTTTCCCTAAGAGAAAACTTTTTTGTTAGACTTTTTTTAAAATGTAATAGACTGATAAAAAAAAAATTATAATATAGGCAATATAAAGTTCAATGCAAAGTAACAGTTTTGTTTTCAATTTAAAAATGATAATGAATATCCTGTGATTTTCCTTGTAAACTAGACCTTAGGATGCCAACTATGCCATATCCTGTTTGCTGTGTATTATAAAAACAACAACATTTAGACAAAGATAATTCATCTGGAAGCTTTAAACTATTTCATTCTTTGTTTAGGGGTGTGATTATTTTTCTAAACAAGTTGAACCTGCAAGACTGTAAAATTTGTGGATTGATAGTGGGTTATCGATTCCCGTTTCTATAGAAACCAGTCTTCTGTTTTATATTCAGCTATTGCAAGTTTAGTCAACTGATGATCAACTAAAGCCTGCAAAAAAAAAATGTTTTTACAGTTTTAATTCCAAACAATTAGATCAGAAGGTTATGGCGGATATGTAATTTAGACTTTAGACACTGCTGCTTAAAAGAACCCATATGACAATATAAAGTAGGCTCAAAGATACCAAAATCATGTACTGACCTAAACAAATCTAAAAACAAATGAGAAACAAAAATTGTGAAAAATGAACTGGGGACTCATCCAGGAGGTCCAAAATAATGAAGAACCAGATCTAAGGTGCAACATGCACAATAGGGTGCATGATCCAACAACCTTTTGGACAAAAATGGAATCCATAGTGGCCTTCCAAGGCAAAAACCACTCACACAACAAAGAACTGTCAAAATCCCTCCATCATAAAATTGGTGTGAACCAAAAAAAATAAATAAATAACATAAGATTTTAGAAATTTCAAGTGATTTTAGAAAAGAAAAGAACTTCATATCCACAATCGTTCTGGTAGATGTGGAAGAGGATTACGGCCACTGGTAAATAAAAAAAAAGTTAACTGATTTTTTTAATTTTATTTCAGTTTAGTATGGCAAAAAACGTCAGAATTCTGACTTTAATCTCAACATTCTGACTTTAATCTAAGAAATCTGACTTTTTTCATTGTCAGAATTCAGTCAGAATTCTGAGAAAAAAGTCAGAATTCTGAGATTAAAGTCATAATTCTAAGATTAAAGTCAGAATTTTGAGATTAAAGTCATAATTCTAAGATTAAAGTCATAATTCTGAGATTAAAGTCAGAATTCTAAGATTAAAGTCAGAATTCTAAGATTAAAGTCATAATTCTGAGATTAAAGTCAGAATTCTAAGATTAAAGTCATAATTCTGAGAAAAAAGTCATAATTCTGAGATTAAAGTCAGAATTCTAAGATTAAAGTCAGAATTCTAAGATTAAAGTC